GAGAGAGAGAGAGAGGTACTAATTGCATAAAATGAGGAGTAGAACTCACTGTGTGCAAAAAACATAGTTGAGAAGCTAAACCTGAAATATGAGCAATAAAAAGATGAAACATGAGACATAATTTAGTGATTGAAAGGTAGAAGGAATCAAACTAATGAAAGGAGCAAAAATATACAGTAATAAGTTTACAAACAGTAAAATGCCATCACATGAACTGTCCGTTGTATTTCGACAACAAATAGACAACAGACAGTTGATGTGACCTTTCCCCTCCACTCAATCTCTGCCATGTCAAAGGAACGGTCATCTCAACAACAAATGATTGATGTTTACCATGTGCAAACCGCATGCGCCACTGTATAAACTCGCTGAAAGAACTAGTAAATTCCCACAAGATCAAATGTATAAAATTCTACAAATCTCAAGAAAAACAGAGCAATATCATGACCATTTATCAAACCACATAAACTACGGTTGTAGATAGATAATTTTCTTGATTGCTAAGGACTAAACGATGACATACCAGAAAATAGTTACAAGCTGTTTGCTGGGAGGTCCACGAAACTCTGTATTAATTCTATGCTCGAGAATCCATATAACTGCCCCCACAATAAGAAAGAATGTACCGGTTACAAACCACATCTCCAGTGTAAATGGCTTCAGAAAAGCCCAAGCACTAGAACTTCTCTTCCTGACAGGGGCCACTATCAAAAGACCAGATTCGACAAAAGGCTGAGTGAAATCAACAATCCTCGTCCGGTTTGTAACGATGCTTATGTCCCCAACAGCTGCATCAAAGTCCTGACCATACATATGTATATATATTTAATAGCACTGTCATAACGTGCAAGGCTCACCAAAAAACTGTGAATTTATGGGTAAGCCAAAAATTGGGAAATGTGTAAGAAACCCATATTTCTAGAGAAATCTATTGTATAACTTACATCCAAAGCGACTTTTCTCACGAGCTCATCATAACTCGGGTTTTTAATGCCATTCCCGAAGGGAATGAAGGTATGAGGCACAGCATAAGGCAACAAGTTCACAGCTGCATCGAAGACATCAATACAAAATCCCTCGGGCTTCCCAGAACCTTTCACTGACACGAAGTCTGTATAGCTCATTCTATTAGGAATCCCAATTCTCAATGGCTTTCCATTGTTTGGGAACACCCAACCCCTTGGGGTGTCTGTGGTTTGTCCAGGCCATACAACACTATACAGCTGTTGGCCACTGGTCGAAATATTTAGGGGCTTCTGATATAAGATTTCAGGGGTAACAACAGATAAACCAGAGTAATTAGACCAGAACCCAACTCTCCGAGACCCTGTTCCACCAATATTAATGATCTCAAAAGCTGGATGAATCAGGGATCTCTCCGCATTAAACTGGAACGGACCGGTTAAGCCACTAAAATTCATCTTCAACAAAATATCACGCAGCTTTGGACCCCCATTAAATATTTTAAGAGATGATACATTCAGAGTGCTCCCATTCACATTTTTTATTCTTGGATCATTGGCAAACGACACGCTCCCTCCTGAATGGAGATATTCATCAATGGCACGAGCAACTAACCAAACAGTATCATATGCATAGAGAGCATAACTCGTTAAGCCTGTATCAGCCTTCTCATTTCTAAGCAAGTCACTCCATCGAGACATGAAACGCCTTTTCGCGCTTGAGCCCGGTGTATATTGACGGAGGGACACAACTCCTTGAATAAGACTGTGGGTATCAGGATTAGACAGTGATGATGAATCCAAATTCGTTGTAAGCCAATCTGTGGTGATCCAAACATAGCCATTTTCCATCATATGAAGGTAGTAAGCATTAGAGAAAATATTGAGCCCTGAATCAGGGTTCACATGCAAGACATAGACTCTTGATTCCATCCGGTTCACATTAGCCAACAAATCCTTAATTTCATCTGACCCAGCTCCAGGGCGTAATGCGGCTTTGAAAGAAATCGTCGAGCGCTTCTTTGCAAGTGCATCTCCTAGAGCAGCTACTCCATTTCTTCCATAGTCATTGTCAACAAAAATAGCTATGATCTGTTTCCATCCATAATGCTCAATCACATCAGCTATTGCATTCATTTGGTAGAGGTCACTTTGGGTTGTTCGAAGGAAGTAAGGGTACTGCAGGGAGGAGAGTGTGGGATCTGTGGCAGCAAATGAGACAAGGGGGATGTGGAGTTCATTCACGACATGAGAAATCACATGAGCAATTACAGAGGATTGTGGGCCTATCATGGCCACCACATCTTTCCCCATGAGCTGAAGCGCTGTACAAATGAGAAGAGCTTTTCACCCAAGCAGCAATGCATAACTAAACAAATTTTTAGTTAGAGGAAATTGTATAGAAAGCTTAACTTTTAAGCTATAACAGAAATGCAAGAACCTGTTCAATTGATGCTTTGAGTTTATTAATCCATATACAACGAGTTATGTTTTCATTTGTGTTTTGCCTAATCAGTAAGTCTACAACAACAAATGTAACCTAATGGTTTCTGTAACAACATGAAGGAATTGAATTTCAACTGAGCACAAGGAAGCCACTAAAATCAGGAATTTATTACAAACAGAAAGATTGATATCTAATCACAACCCATAGGAAAGATAAGGAAACCTGGTGATCAAAAAGTACCTTTCTGAAGTTGCAAATGCTTCTTTTCTGAAGAATGTGCAATTTATATTCAAATATTAACAGTAATTATGTATAACACCACAAAAATACTGATCCAAAATAATGTTCTAATCAACAACGAAGATGCTGGAATAAATTTTAGAAAATAATGAGTATATAAACTTGGGACAGGAGAAGCTCAGTGCAATGGGATAAATTTCATGAAGATGGTCAAATAAATACCGTTTCACTAGTCTACTAATTTTAAACAGAAAAAATATCAGATGAAATCTACTTGCATGTGCTTTGAAAGACTCTTGAGGACACATAATTACAAATCTACAGAGTCTGAATAGAAATTTGCATTTAATCTACGGGTACGTGCCATTTTTCTCGCCATTTAGATTTTTAACGGAAATAAAGAAAAAACGCAAAAAAGAACAAAACAACTGGTACGATACACTGCACAACACAGCAGGGTTTGAATAAATTAAACATAATTGGGCAAGTTGTTTATTGGCGGAAATATGTGATAAATATGAAAACATATGACTTCTAATGTTATAAATGAAGAAGTACAAGCAATATCAAATCTACTTGCAATTCAATACAAAAGGAAAAACAGAACAGTTCAAAGAGGCATTTATTCAGTCACTTATAGCCCACTAAATTGTCAGGAAAGTTTATTTTCTGTCATACAAACAATCCCCTCTCCCTACTCAATAGCCGTAGAATTATCATCTTAGAGCGATCTTTTTGCTAACAGATGTTCATCTAAAGGATGAGAACAAACTATGAAGCATCTGCATCAATAATTCAAGTATTGTATCCAACATTGACCGATCCTTTGTAGGAAATATGTGTAGTAATGAGCTTGCAAAATGGATATGTTTATCATAAAGAGATTCATTGCTCCAGACCCTGCTTCACCTTAATTTTTATTTGAATAAAAATACCACAATGAACTGTTCTTTTGGTAAAAGTTATGTCCTGGTCCAACTGGGGATAGCATTTCTATTCTGCATGACCACGGAGTTTTGAAAAATCCAAACCTCTCTGAAAATAGATATAGAGGTAGGAATTTGTTGAACTAACTAACCATTGCCCTCTACCCACCCTAACATCCCATCACTAAAATAGTAATGATAAAAACAATGATGATGATGATCATAACAATAACAACAACAGAAGCAGCACCACAGCATTGATAATAGCTATAGTAAACACTGAGCAAAAATTAAAAATAGTATTAATAAATAATAATTAGAAATAGAAGTTTCTAGTCCGATGTAAAGAAAGGAATTCAACAAAAACCTCACTGGAAGGGAATCTCAACCAAAAACCTACTTCAATAACTACACCCGCACATCAAATACTAGAATATTTCCCATAAAAAATGTTTTGTACGTATTGCATGCCAGCAACATGTGTAAGTAAATGAAATATCAACAACAATATGCTTCAATCAAGGGGGGAAAAAACAAAAAGAAGCGTTCATCCTTGTCCAGAGTAGCACCGAACTTCAATGGTCGTATCAATAGCATCTAAATAATACAGAGACAAAAATTAGGCGAATGATACAGTTGCTCACCTTCTACAGTTCCAAGGAAGCCACTGCAATTAGTGTCCTCCAAAACCATATTTAGTTTTGTATGAGTAAGAATGCTCTTATCAGCATTCACGTCGGCTACGGCAGCATCAACTGCAATCCTTGATGATCTTCCAATTGATGAATTAAGAGTAAACAGGACACCTATATTTACAGAGGTTGGCAAGGAAGAAACACTCGTATTCTGGCCCGAAGTTACAACACAAAGACAAGCAGAGGAAACCAGAAACAGATGAAGCAGAAGAAACTCCATTATAGAGAACCAGGAAATTACTTCAACCCACTCCCTTGTCTCAATAAGTTTTTGAGCAAACCCAATTCATAGCAGCTCTGTATTTTTCTGCAAAAAAATACCCAATTTATGAGACCAGGCCCATGCTAATCCATTTAGTTCAAGTTTACAAAAAACCTGGTGGAAAACAAAAATGAAAAGTAAACCATCTCAACCTCCATATGTATGAATGGAAAACACCAAGTTCCTCAAACTGGGCCAAGTTTTCTATATGCAGTGCAGGATCCATATTTAAAAATGGGATGAATTAGGTAAATATATGCTAGATAGAAAAATAGTGATCAATTCCCTTTCTTAAGTATTTTTCAAGTAAACCCAATTCCGTATCAGCTTGATATCTCTCTGCATATTTATTTTTCAAGTAAACCCAATTCCGTATCAGCTTGATATCTCTCAGCATAATTACCCAATTCATGTAACCAGAACAATATCAATCCATTTTTTCAAATTTGCAGACACCCACCTCAAAGAAAAAACGAATAGGAACCATTTAAGCCTCCATGCTTAATGAATAAAAAGCACCAAGTTCCTCATACGGGACCACAATTCCTATGAAATAGACACTACCAATATTAAAAAAAAAAAAAAGGATAAATCCGAAAAAGATACACAATCTATGGCAAAATAATGGTTTAACTTTCACTTTTCACTGTCTCCAAATTCTCTCACAAAAGTTCTACAAGCAAATCAGAACCCAGAGAGGATATGTGTTATAGAAAAGAAAACTAACACAGAAACCATACCTGGAAATGTGTTTCTCTCTCTAGGAACCCAATAACTTCACCAATATGCTTTCCAACAAGTCACCACTTCAGGATTTGGAAACCTCTAGGGGCTCAACGGTAGCTCTATATCACTTCCCATGCAAGACAAAAATGTAACTGGTTTTAGAGAGAAGCAAGGAATGATTCTTTGGTGTGGATTCATGACACAAAAATGGAACTTCCACTTTCTATTTCTTGAGAGAGAAAGAACTGAGATAGACAGAGTAGCGGGAAGCTAGAATAAGACTATATTATATAAAAAAAAAACAAAATATTAAGAAAAATTAGTTGCAAAGACAAACCACATCACCAAAATCCGAACCCACAAATAATTGTGAAGAGACAATAAGCCAAAAGATTTTCTAGTCCCTCGCGAGCATATATGCATTTACTCCCTCGTCCTGGGGCAAAATACATGTAGATATACTTTGTAATATTTACCGAGCATAAAATTATGGGATTGTATACTACCGAGGCTATTTACCTTTTGTAAAAAGATGTCACAATTATTTATAACTATCATTTATCATTTGTGAAATCTGATAGCTTAGATGTATCATAAAGTTTGAAAAACTTTCTTTTAGACTTTGAGCTTAGTGAGTAAAATAAATGCAGTCACCCGATTTGACATCTAATGGTCAAGATTAATTGTGACCACCTTATACAAACGGTAAATCGTTTCATTATATACTTTCTTTAAACTTATTGTATATTATAAAATAATTTATTTTTTATACAAAAGGATCATAATTAATACTGGTAATTAGATATCAAATTTAAACACTTGGAGTATATCAAAAGAAATTCTTTTTTGAACTTAGAGTCTAGTTATTTATCCAAAAAACATAGTCTAATCTACAATACGCTCACAACCATATAATTTGAAATGTGATAGAATAAAGTGATTAGGACTTCTTTATATTAAAAATAAATGATCTCTTGATATACTTTCCTTAAAATAATCTTAACAAATTAACTTTCTGAAATTATATACTAGAAAAGCTTAACTTCTCAATATTGAATAGAAACTATTTAATTTTTAAGGGCCAGATCTACCTGTCACAAAACCAAATTTTAATTGTTTACTTTAAAATAATAATCTAATAACTCTTATATGGTTCTTAAAATTTGAGAACAAAAGTATTTCTCCTATTGAGTGAGGGAGTGGATACACAACGCTCCAATGGTAGTATAGTAGATTTCCTCAAAATTAAATAAAAATTTTGGAAAGAAAGGGAAACACGGTGGGCCTCCTCATGTCATCAGAGACTTAGGAGCCAACAAAATTCTCCCACGTGGCAACATACAGTCTTTATTTATAGCCTGCTTGTTTCACGTGTCTAAAATAATGAATATAAAGTTCGCAATAAAAACTTGGAAATGATTATGACCTCACAAATTCTTTAATGGATTCTCAAGGTCAAATTATATTGTTAAAAATTGGTTAGAAAATTTTTTAACCAGTTGAAACCGGAGGCTTCCTCACTTAAAGCCGAAGAAAGAGTGCAATAAATAATTAATATAAAAAATAGAAATATATCAAAGTCGTGGTAGAAATGACCTGTTTAGTTCTTCATTTCCTTCAACTATTACGTCATGATCACCTGACATTTGATGACTGCTTTTCAAACTAACTTGTTTGATATGGTTAGAACTTAAATTACTCATCTCTTATAGATATTTGTATAAATTTCTCAATAATTATATTTTTTATTTTTAGAATTTAAAACATCAAGACCATTTGCTTTTTGATATAAGGTGGTCATCATTACTTATAATCATTATATTTAAAATTTGATAGTTTGAACGTGTCACAAAATTTGAAAAAAAAATTTAAAAAAATTGAATTTGATCAAAAAAATAATTGTAACCACCCAATTTCACATCCAATTATCAAGATTAATGTGTCCGCTTCGTACCAATGGTAAATAGTCTCATTCTATACTTTTTCTCAGGATTAGTGTGATAACTTTATACCAATGGTAAATAATCTCATTTTATACTTTTCCTTTAAAACATGTACTCAGTCATTTATATTTTACATTTAGCTCCAGCTTTTTAGTAATGTATTTAGTATTTCAATTGTATCTTTCTCCATTTATTGTATTAAGCTCAAATTTTATGTGTTCATATTTCTCACTATCACAAATATGTAATAAGTAATATATTTAAATAAAAATAAAATGACAAAAAAAATATGCATAAATTTTAGGGATATTTTAGTTTTTTTGGTCAATTATTTATTTTAAATTACTAGTTTTATATTTTGTTGGTACATAATGGTGAGAAATATAGACACCCGAAATTTAATCTTAATCTTATGCATGCGAAAAACATAAAGTTAAAATACGCTACATGTTGTAAGAAAATAGAACATGAGCGTAAATTTTGAAATATTTAAAAACTTTAAATTCCATAAGCATATTTACATAATTTTTTCTTTAAAATACAACCAAAAAAAAAAAGAAGGAGATAAACAATTATATCAACACGCGGGTGGAAGTATGCCATTGACTGCTCTCAAGTATGAGAAAAGAGATCATACTCTGATTCTCAGATTTATTCACCCAAAAACAAGAATAAAAAGTCTAAAAAAAATATCATCACAATGTGGCACATTTCAGCCGTTTGATTTTACATATAACGGCCTTCTTTAGGACTTGCAACCTTAGCCTATGTCAAGATACAATCATATTGTATACAATCCAAGTAGAAAAATCGCATGGCAGTGGGAGCAAGAACCTTATGGAGCTTCAGGTGGACCCATATTTCCTCAATAGATGGGTCCATTAAGCTCTGATATTTTTAAACAGGTTGACCCAAGTCCATCAAGTTCACAAGAATGTGGTTGTCAATACGTCTGGATCGACGTCAGGCGCATTGAAAGCGTGGTCTACAAAATTTATTTGGGGTCCAAAATTATTGAGTTGGAATATTGGGAAATGACCTTGTGTATCCCTCACACACCGATGGCACCATAAGACCCCACATACGGAGATTGTGATTCCTCGAGATACCGGCAAAGTGACTTGCTAAGCCGATTACTTTTTTTTTATTTGTTTTTTTTTTTTTTTGAAACACCTTTTTCTCTCTTAATAACTTAGTTTATTTACTCGCTCCTCTCACTTTTTTTCTCTCTTATCAACTTAGCTTACCTTCATGCCAAAATAGGCAGGAAGGTGGGTCGCTCACCTTATCCTCTCTCTCTCTCTAAAATAAATCTGGTGCCGTCATCTTAAGGTTTTTTTTGGACCTAGGTCTCTCTCAAAAATAAGGCTTTTTTTTCGACTTGGGAGTAAATCTCTCTCTATTTGGGGTAGAGAGATGTAAAGAATACGTGTGATGATCTCTCTCTATTTAGGATAACTACGTCTGTAACTAGCTTGATGATCTCTCTTACTTCCTCCTCCTATGAATTTCTTACTAGACCATTAATTAAAAAGCCCAAAGTCTCCAAATCAATAGCTCTTTTCTTGTTAATACGGTCCTTGAACCGTTCATATGCGAACCCTAATCATCTATTTCATAGAGAAAATGGAAAAAACATTAACGATAAATCTATCTGGGAACCACCTTTTTTCCTATCTCTGCAATTTTTCCATTTTTACAGTAACAAGTCAGCAACAAATTAAGTAATGACATTAGTCTTTTTCTCCATACCTTGCATCTTTGCATGGACTTAAAAGAGCATTGAACTAATCTACACGACGATGGATTCCTAACTCATCCATCTCTGCTAAGTGGTTAGCTCCACCATTTTAGCTCGACCTTAAGAGATAATAAGGCCATATAAAAACTTTTGTGATTTGATATAGTGGCTTTTCTTCTGATTTTTTAATAAGATTTCGATTTCAGATAAACATTGAGCTTTGGCAAGCCGCCTAATCGCTAGATCCATCAAATACCAATCTCTAACTACGCCTGCTAGGTCAAGGGTTGAGTTAAAGATCTCAATGATTTGATCAGGGTTGCTCACACAGCGAAGCTTCGATTTTGCCGAGTTGAAAGTCAGGGTTTGGGGATTATTGGATTGAGAAGCACAAGTGCAGTAATGGTGAGCATACACAATAGCTCAGCGTTTCGGGAAGAAAGTTCGCTTTTAACTAGGTTGCGGAGCGAGAGAGAGATTGCATAGATTTTAACTATGGAAAATTGTTTATTTACCATTTTAATCGATTTGGGTTTTATTTATTTAATGGATGAGAAACAAGTCATACGTCATTGGGATCTGTAAAGAGATTTGACAGTGATTGAGGAGGGTACTATGCAACCCACATGTGTGAGGGCCTCAGTGATTGAGGAGGGTACTATGCAACCCACATGTGTGAGGGCCTCAGAGGATCATTACTTATAAAGATATGGCAAAACAATTTTATAGGAGGTACCAAGTTTATAATATCGAATAGGGCACACCTCAAAAATCAAGACAAAACGCCAAAAACTTTCAAATCAATCATCTCTGAGATGTATAGATATGAGAAAAAAATTAAAAAATGGGTGTGATTTCTATATGGTTGTCACCTTAAATAATCCAAATAAAGCGCACGTCCAAATTTTATCATAATATGTAATGTTGGAGTAAAAAAGTATTAGGATTATCTCAAAATCTATTTTCATATATAATTATAAAATTTTAAACTCCAAAAATGGTTAAAATCAACTAGATCCATAAACATACGAAAATCTTGAAAATAGATGGTCTAGATATTACGTTGAAAGATGCACTTGTTTTGGACTTAAACTTTTTTTTTTCAATATTCATACATCTTGATGTTGAGATGATCAAATAGAAGATTTTTCAACATTAAAACAACATTTTCCGATAGATTTTTGAGATGCATATGTAATTCTACATTTTAAGGTTGTAACCATATATAAACCTTTTCCTTTAAAAATAGATACAGTTTCTATAAAAGGGAGCTTTAAGAAAACAAAGTAAAGCTTCAGCACTTTGGGCATTGGAAATCTTTATGATGACTCTAAAATCAATTTCCAATACCAATTATGAAATTTTGACGTTCAAAAAATGGTAAAGATCTTGTGAATTGATGGCTTATTTTTAGGGCGAAACGAACATTCGAGAAATGTGTTGCAGTATACACTATTTTTAGGACTTGAAATCCTAACGATTTCACAATCCTAATGGTCAAGACCGAGATGATCAATTCAAAGGTTTTCCTGACGCCAAAACTACAATTTTGATGAGTTTTTTGAGGTGAGGTTTTACTTATTTTGAT